CAACAGTTTTCAGTCAGGTCAGGAGGTGTTGTGTGTTTCCTTGACTGATGAAGCCCTCTGGATGGAAGGTGAAAAGTTTCAGAAAAAAAAAAGAAACTGTCCAGATGACCTGACTGAAAATTGTTGAATTTATTCAAATGTTTACAGATGTTTAACATCCTGTTAAAATGCAGGAAATGGCATCTCTTTTATTCCAAATTTTCTGGGGGAGGACCCAGGAAACCCCCCCCCCCCCCCTCTTTGTGTTCCGGAATGAACCGGTTTACAAACTAAAGGTAAATAAGAGTCTCCACCTGAACCTGAGTTATAAATGTGAATTATTCACTGTTTCACCACGGTGGGGACACAAAGAGGAATGGAGGAGGGGGGGGGGGGGGGGGTCCTGAAGGAGGAGTTGACAAAGAATGTAGTAGAGGTGAAAAGAGTGTCAGATAGGGTGATGTGTCTGAAGGTAGAAGTAGAAGGTCTGATGCTGAATGTTGTCAGTGGTTATGCTCCACAGGTTGGATGTGATGAGGAGAAAGATCTGGATGAAGTGATGGAGAGTATTCCCAGGGAGGAGAGAGTGGTGATGGGAGCAGACCTGAATGGACATGTTGGTGAAGGAAACAGAGGATGAGGAAGTGATGGGTAGGTTTGGTGTCAAGGAAAGAAACCAGGAAGGACAGATGGTGGTGGATTTCACCAAGAGAATGGAAATGGCTGTAGTCAACACCTGTTTCCAAAAGAGGGAGGAGCATAGAGTGACCTATAAGAGTGGAGGAAGGAGTACGCAGGTCGACTACATTCTGTGTAGAAGAGGAAACCTGAGGGAGACTGGAGACTGTAAGGTTGTGGCAGGGGAGGGCGTGGCCAGACAGCATCGGATGGTTGTGTGTAGAATGACTGTTGTTGTGAAGAAGAGGAAAAGAGTCAAATCAGAGAAGAAGACCAAATGGTGGAAGATGAAGAAGGAAGAATGTTGTGATAAATTCAGAGAGGAGCTGTTAAAGGCTCTGGGTGGTAAGAAAGAGCTTCCAGATGACTGGACTACTACAGCAACAGTAATTAGAGAGACAGGTAGGAAGGTACTTGGTGTGTCATCTGGACAGAGAATGGATGATCAGGAAACCTGGTGGTGGAATAGTGAAGTGCAGGAAGATGTTCAAAGAAAGAGGTTAGTCAAGAAGAAATATGACAGAGAGAGGACTGAAGAGAGGAGACAGGAAGATAAGGAGATGGGACGTAGAGCAAAGAGGGAAGTAGCTGAGACAAAAGAGAAGGTGTATGATGAGTTGTATGTGAGGTTGGACACTGAAGAGGGAGAGAAGAACTTGAACCAACTGGTGATTTTCCTGAAAAGTTTCAGGAGTGATTTGTGACAAAAAGGTGTCAGCAAAGGTCAAAGGTCAAGTTTATAAGACAGTGGTGAGACCAGCTATGTTGTCTGGTCTGGAGACAGAGACATGGACGAGAAGACAGGAGACAGAACTGGAAGTGTCAGAAATGAAGATGTGGAGGTTCTCCTGAGGAGAGACAAGGATGGAGAAGATCAGGAATGAGATGATCAGAGGTCCAGCACAGGTTGATAGAGGACTCTGTGGAGACCTGTAATTAGAGGGAACAGCTGAAAGAAGAAGAACAATGATCCGAACCTGTAATAATAGTTAATGAAGATGACCGGACCGTGTGGGCCCTGTGGACCCGGACACGTCCTGCCTCGGACCCGCTCCACTCACATCTTGTCGCCGACTCTCCGCAGCACCGTGTCGGCGGCCCGCAGCAGTTTGAACCGCAGCCTCTCCCGCAGGTCCGGGAAGATCCGGAGCGGCGAGTCGGACAGCTGGACCCGGGACAGAGCGGTCACCTGCTCCGCCAGGTTCCCCAAAGAGTCCATGAGCGGGCTGCAGTCCTCCAACACGCGCCTCCACACGCACCGCTGCTGCTCCACACACACGAAACTTCTCCTGAGGGCCTCGCGGAGGCAGCTCACCGCCGGGTCGGACATGACGTCAGCAGCCGGAGATCAGGGTTCTTTTGGACAACACGTTTTATTTTTATTTCCGGCCTAAACGCAACTTTAATTTGTTTTCTTCCCTCTTCCACAGATGCCCACGCCGCAGCTCACCGCTGCCATGACGCCGCAGCTCGTTTCCGGTGTCCGGATGTAAACAGTGACGTGTGGTGCGTTCACGGTACCGTAAAAGGAGGAAACCGGAGATGTATAATTTTGTTTCAACCACGGCGCTATCAACGACCCACTGAAAAACATCTGCTGTGATTTATTTGAATGCCTTTAACAACAAATAACTAACAATAAATATGTATTGTTTTGCTTAAGTATGCGTAAATTTGACCTGGTTATTGTTTAACTTGATAAATTATTGAAAAATGAAGGCACCTAATTTAACATTTTGTGGCTATTTTATTTTTCAACCTTTATTTCTACAGGTTAGTCCCACTGAGCCTCAGGACTCCTCTACAACAGACACCTGATTTAACAAAGAGTGAAGACAACAATGGACAGTTGTAAAAAGGCATACAGATTATTATTTTACAAATAAGATGCAAGAAGAGTAACAAGCAGCTGGATTCTAAGGTGAATGTAGAAACTAAAAACAGGAACATGTCTGCGTTGGTCCTTGCCAGGAGTCCAACTGATGGTCCAAGTGATAGACAGGAGAGCTGTCCAGGGTGGGACCAGGTGTCCCCCACTTCTCGCACAGTGACCCCCCCACCCGAAAAGGAAGAAGCGGTTAAAGAGAATGGATGGATTGACTTCTTGTGATATATTTTTCTTGCTAGAATCTGAAAACATTCAGACTTTATTTTAAGACTTTGAATGCGTCACAGTGGACCAATAGCACAAAACGCTTTTGATGACGTTGAGAAAACGTGCTTCCTGATTGGCTGACAGTTTGTGTCGAGTTTTCAAACACGTCTTCACAAAGGAGGGAGTTACAGTACCGTCAAAGTAGGTAATAATATCTACATTAAACAGAGTTATCGTAATTATAATTTATATTCTGGGATTATTTTTAAGGTGTGGGAATAGATCTGTCTGTCCGAAACTCACTGGAACAGCTTTTAACTGCGCTAAGTCATCAGCTAACCCGGTTAGCCTGTTAGCATGTCCTGTCCGTTAAAAACGTTGATGTTTTTGTGAAGAAGCTTCTGAGTTAAAGATAATTTTAAATTAAAGATAATTTTAGATTAAAGATAATTTTTCTGTCTCTCCATGCAGACATGGCTCCGAGGAAGAGAACCACCAAAGCGAGGAAGAACAACCCGAAGGCGGCGAAGCTGGAGGCCTTCCTGCAGGACTTCAACAGCGAGGGTGGGTCTGCAGCAGAACCAGAACACCTGGTGTCTGCTGGGTCTGCAGCAGAACCAGAACACCTGGTGTCTGCTGGGTCTGCAGCAGAACCAGAACACCTGGTGTCTGCTGGGTCTGCAGCAGAACCAGAACACCTGGTGTCTGC